ATCTTCGAATGAAAATTCGATTATTTATTTAAAAATTACGACATCGTTGATGCCTATGAAAGTCACACTCAAATATTGTTGATCCAAAAACACCACCTTTAATCATATATATATTTATTGGGAAACTATTTCATATCCACGAAAGTAGTGGTGGTCCACATGTAGTTATCCACGAAATAATACTGCAACGCGAGTGTTCGCAGGCTTCAGGTAGATGAACGCTCTCCATATAGAACTCGTTTTTCTTGCGTTTCAGCGGAGGTAATTAATGAAGCTGGCTATAAAATCCCTGCCTACAGGTAGCAAGGTGAGAACTGTTCCGTTTGCTTGTGCAGCCTCTGTGAGATGTGGGAACAGTTTAGTTACTTTTCGCGATATCGAGCCTGTCGGTAATTTTCAGATATTTTTTCATGATACCAAATTCCATTACTATATTTAGTTAAATCTCCTTAACACGATAGTTACTTCTGATGTGTTATTGCAAGATCAACCGCTGCGGGACTCTGGCTATTTGTTCTTGGCACAGAAAAATATAATTTAAGTTAGTAAGATCGGGTTCCAAAGGCCGGATCCCTTGTGAATCAAGTCACGAAAAGTTCAAGAATCGGCAACAGGCCATGGGCCTATGTCTTCAACGCCGACACTTCTATTCTATTATCTGGTATTGAAAGTATTAATTAAAATAAGGTAGGCATCGCTAGTGCTATCTGCCAATAATAAATTAGGTCACGAGGCGCCGTATCCAAGAAGCCGCTGATATTCTTATCTTCCGGTCACGAAGAAGCACAAACCGAAATAGGATATTTGTTTCGCTAATGATCATTATTTCAGCACTGGACTGATATCGTTTTATTTCTCGAGCGTTTTGATCGTTTGACTATCGGTAGCAGGAATAATCATCATGTACATATTGTTGATTGTATTATATAATATTCGCATGCTATAAAGTCACGACAGAAAACTATTTGAATATCATGTGCATTATAGGAAATTCAACCCAAAATATTCAACCTGAGAAGTACTAGATTTTACACCCGAGTTTTCTCTCCTCATAAAAATTCAAACCATTTCATCGCAGGTCAGCATTTATTTCTATTAATTGCTTGAAAATGCTGGTGATAGTCATGTTACTGAATAATAATAATATGTAAGAAGTCATCTTATTGGATGGAAATCTTATTTAATACATGCATTGTCGCACTAAAAAAATTAATTTTACTGCATCTGGTGGGCTAGAAGGAGACATCAAGCAGGCGCTACATGGCGATAATGACTAGATTTTTTTAATTCCAGGGTGAGTTGACGTTGCATCGACGAACTCATGCTGACAGTCTGATAGAAGATGGTTAACAGTCAAATGGTCGATAATCCTATCCCTCACAACCGATTCCATCACCTCACACACAACACTTGTAAGACTTACAGGACGGTAGTTACCGGGGTTACTTCTGTCACTTTTTTTTGAACAGGGGTGTCATTTGGGATTCTTTCCAATCGGCCGGCAAAGTCCCTTCGATTAATGTTTTTCGAAAGAATACTGTTAAAGGGCCGGAAAGTACGGTTGCTAATTCGTTGAGTAATCTATTGTGGAAACCGTCTGATCCAGATAACTTGTTGGGATTGCAGGGACACCAGGCGCTTGAGAACATCCTCTTCATGTATCTCAAAATAGTTAACTTCGAGCCCACTGGTCGCTCCTCAATAGCTGGAATACTGTTCAAGTCCTCATCTGTAAAGACGCTGCTAAAGAACTGATTTAGAACATTGGCCTTTCCCTCCTCAGAAGATATTTTCCGTTGATTTACATTCAAATCAGTAATACCGTCCCTTGTCTTACACTTCGAACTAGCATACAAAAAGAAGGCTTTCGGGTTCTTTTTTGAGTTTTGGGCAACATCTTTTTCAAAGTTTTTGACTGCGGTTCGACAAGATTTTTTAGCTTGATTTCGAGCTCTTGCATACAGGTTATACTCAGCATCGCTACGAGTTCGTAAATAACGCTTGTAGGCTTCTTTCTTTGCTTTTAACTTTGCTTTAACAGTTTTGCTCATCCACTGTGTTTTTCTGACTCCACCATGCTTTATCTATAGCTACCCACGCATCAACTGTAGACACAACTATGTTCTTGATGCCACTAGACTCCGCGACATTCATGTTCCTAATACAATCTGAAATTTTCGCAGCACTCACTGATTCACGACGTTTAACATAGGCGCCTTTCGCAAAATTGAAACATTCACGCTTCCGAGGCGTCTTTTCTGTATAGCACTTAATACTGAAAAACAATGACTGGTGGTGACTTTTGCCGGGAAAAAGTCACCACCAGCCTCGTGGCGAAGCTCTTCAACCATTGAATCTTCACTAGTAAATACTAGGTCTAGAGTATTTGGAGTCTAATTACCTTTAAAATGAGTTGGTTTTGTGATGTGCTGGTATAAAAATGAGTCTCTCATAGACTCCATTAACAAGGATGAAGGGTGATCCTAATCCCTTGGAGAGGATTCATGTGCCCAGTCTATTTCTGGATGGTTAAAGTCACCAACGATTAACGTATGCGACCTGCTGAAAGTCATGCTCAGTAGAAGACTGTTCAGTACTTTATCGTTATCACACAGAGAGAAAATTTCGGCCCCTTAAGCATATCAGTAGGTGATGCACTTGCGAGCTTCGATGCACTTAAATTTGTGCGGCTAACGCCGCGCGGCCATTGGTCAGTGCGCCGCACGGCCATTGGTCAGTGCGCCGAGTGCTCTCACAGAAGGAGGTTGTGTGGAGCCGCCGCTCATGAATGCCACGAAACTACACTGCATTACGGTCAATTGTCGCAGCTCAATTTTGTTAATTGTTTCAACTCACTGCTGTTCTTTTGTCAATAGTAATGTTAACGAACGACGTATATACCATTCTATCACATAATAAGTTGATCTTAAAATTAAAGATTTATTCTGGTAGTACCGCGCGCAAGACTAAGCAAACACTGCGACTCTATGTGACTGACGTCTCCGTGGCTCAGTGGGCTAAGGCATAGTCGCGCGCACTCGACTACTGTCATGGCAGAGGTTCGAATCTCGGCGGGCGACTCGCAGTTTCTTCAACCAGAGTTCGAAAGAGGTGAGAGCAAAGAGTGAAGTTTCATGATGTTTGTACATACCGATATAAATCGTGTAATAAATATGTGTAGAAGGAATAAATATGTGACTAATTCCGCTGCGAAGGAGAAAAGCGTTGAAATCAGATAGTGACGGAGAAATATAGTTTTCATAATTTTAGTAAGGAGGCGGCCATGGATTAGACAGGGATCGACCGGAAGAGTAGAATATGATAGAATGATTTCATCAGGCGCTCGAAACTGGGCAAGGACATTGCAGAGATCCTGAAAAGAAGGTCTCATTCTCCGTAGATTTATTTTCACAATGATGCATGCGCGTACATCGAAATTCCTAATTTCGATATACTTGGACTTCTTTGATGCACCCGGGCGGCCGTAGGTATCTCGCTTTTGGCACGATCGCTCAGAGATGATTTGATGCACCTAAGTATATCAAAACAGCAGTCAAATTTCTGTCAGTGCAGAGGAACTTTTAGGTGATCTTATACAGGACACCTATTAGGAGGCTATCCCTGCTTTTTAGAGAAAGCTCACGCCACACTGATTCTCTAGCTGATTGGTGCTCTGCTGATAACTTAACTTGTTGGGCCCATAAAAGGTTCTAACCCACAGAGCTACACCTCTATTACACTGCTCTTCGTTTAAATTATGAAAGAAATAAAAACCTGGCAACTGAAATTCAACTGGTAAAGATCCCCCCCCCGTGATCTTTAAGGAGTGTCTCTCTGTAATACAAATAATGCCTATTTGCTCCTAACAAACGCATCGTCGCACACGTGGCAAGGAGCTTCGGGGATGCCAACGAGTGAGTAATTAGGAACTGGTGCAAATTTCCCACTACTATCTGTCAGACCACAAAGATTAAGCACGACCAGCTCTGACGTGCGCGTTAAATCAATTGTGACAGTCAGATAAGCTGCTGATCCCGACTTGCGTACTGGGTCCTTTCTTGTAGGATCTTGACTCAGACGCCAGGGTGAGTTGCGTGCGATAGTGGCACGATTTTATTACTCAGTAAAATATCGTGATTTTTGTGAATATGATTTGTCATGTGTAGGTATTCACTTTCGCTTTCGGTTGTAGGATCATGCGTTTATTCTCAAAACTCCGTGCTCTAGCTCCCTCCTCGCAATTATAGCTCTCCGCGCATTCGACTTAAATTAGCTCTCGAGCTCGATTTTTCAGTTCTTTAAGGGATTCGTTTTGTTAATTTGTTAGTTCTAGATCGCATCCGTTGTTTTGGTTTGCTATAATTTGCCGTTAATCTTTAATACATTGAATTAAGTTTGTTAATTAAGTTTCCAATCCGTCCAGTCCAGGCTATTGCTAATCAAGCCAATAGGGAAATGCCTTTTAATTTCCGGTCATTGGTGGGCGTGACAATTAACACCATCCGAACTTTTAATGTAACGCAATTGGTTATTCGGAAAGTCAGGTCTAGTTCGCCACAAGCAGTGAGTTTCGTGTTCGAGACCAGCACAATCTGTAAAAAGTTTTTACACACCAAGAAAGTTCTGCCATGCAATCATGGCATGGCTACTCTCATATCTGCTACGCTGGCTAATTTGTCATCGTAAAAATCACACTAAAGTAAAATGAATGTAAGTGAAGAGAGTACATTGAACTTTATTTCCTCGTTTGTATTCCTAATGTAAATACGAACCCACGTGATTCAACGGATGAGAAATATTTTTGAAGCAGGTGTCGAAATGGATAAGTTAGGAACTCTACAATCCCATCCCGAGTATTTCGAATATGTTTCCGCATCCAAGGTAAGTTTCAGTATATACAACTCGCCATTTTCCAAGCTTTCCGAGCAAAGTAGACGTCTCATCTTCAGTGATCCATCGAATGGTTTAATGTATACTGTATAGCATATAAAATCAAGTCTTTTATTTGTTCACTCTGAAAGTGCGGCCATGTCTGTGAATCTTACCAAGTTGATGAATGACAGGAGCACAGGAGCATACTAGGGTACATGATCAGCGTGATTTTTGGTGCTCGTGTAATATCATTGTGTTGAGTAAATATTATATATAAAAGTAGAGAACTAATTTGGATCGCATTCATGTAATCCTCTTACATATAGATAAGTAAATTGCATCTGAATAGTCAATTTTCACACCCTATGAGCCTTCCAGAAAGTCATTCGTAGAATATCAAACATTATTACTCATTATTGTAATAATAATAATATTACTATTAATATCAATTAAACTTGTTTCGTTTTAACCGCCAAAAGAAATGTTTCAAATGACGTTTTCACTGTTGTTTATTTTACCGGCCGCGTTGCAAGAAACGAGCGTAAATGCTCTTCGCGGCCCAGGGAACTGCCTTGAGGGCCACAGATCCAACTCCAACGGCTGTTGCGACCACGGGCCCGAGGCTCACTCCTGACGCGGTCAGAACCCCTGCCCTCAGCGCAGTTGCACCGGCAACCGCCAGACCTCCAAGTATGTACAATCTGGACCTCGACCCAACCTCGTCCAGCTTCATTTCGTCGTTCTTCTGAACATAGGTCCTGAAGTGTTCGTCTATGTTCTGAAAAAAATGTTGCTCGTTACGATTGCAATTTCATTCACTTCATTAGGTAAATTTGTTAGTCCACAATTATTAAATTATTTTGAAGTTTCGTGTAAATTATAGGGTTATTATATTCATGAGCACACGTTCTGGCATTGCAATGCTACTCTCATATAAACAATGAAATCTTAGATAGCTAAGAATTTATGAAAGAGTTGATAGACGCCTAATCGAACCAAATGTTATGATCGAAGCTGTTAACGTATAATTTAGCTGTAGATTGGAGACTCGCTGTAGAGGTCAATGATGGCGAGGGAACAGCATTATGGAGGTCAATGATGGCGAGGGAACAGCATTATGGAGGTCAATGATGGCGAGGGAACAGCATTATGGAGGTCAATGATGACAATGTCGGAGGAGATAACCCAAGCTGACGGTGTATTAGCAACAAAAAAATGGAGGTCGTTACTGATACAGCTAAAATGCAAATGATTTTGTTATTAAAAAATAATTTTGTTATTATTTTATTCAATGATTTTGTTATTAAAAATAATTAAAAAATAAAATGAAAATAATAACAAAATAAATTTTGTTATTATAAAAGCATAAGAGCAAATAATTATTTCAGCGCGGCTGTGTCAATATAAGAGGCGGGAGAAGAATTTGGTTCAGAGTTTGAATCCAATAATTATATCACCGTTGCTTTCGAGATTTGACCAGCAATTAACTATAACCAAGGTAAAAAAAATATGGTCAATCACGACAGTGATGCAATGTGTAAGATTTTTGAGAGTAATTTTTGATGGTGATTGATGAGACTCAAGTTTCATATTTTTCTTTTTCAAGTGCAGTTTAACTCGTCCTCGAGTTTAACATGCTTTGAAAATCATTTGGTTAACTTAAACGATCAGTTGCCCGTATAAGCAGTAACAAGTTATAAATCAGCCATAAATAGGATGGAATTCGATTTCTTCTAAGTTTAAGAATAAAGGCTAAAACTAAAAAAGTTGCATAAAACATTTTACTGAATAGAAGTCCTAGATAAACAAAACAGAACGTTTCGGGCTATGCCCATCATCAGCTAGTAAAATACATCTGGAAATACATGGAAATCAATTTTAGCATTTTTAGTAATTTAGTAATCAATTTATGTGCTTCCACGAAACAATATGGTTAAATGACTGCCCTATTAGCTTTAAACCTGTTTTTTACAAAAGGTATATAGATGAAACTTTTTTACTCTTTCGATGCCAATCTCACGTGTCTTTATTTCTAAATTAACTGAATAGTAAATATACGAATATCAAGTTTACCATGGAACCTGAAGTAGAAAACAAATTATCATTTTTAGATTGTTTGGTTCATAGAGATGGCAATAGTTTTAAATGTTCTGTTTTTAGAAAGAGTTCATTTTCTGGTTTAGGACTCAGTTTTTACAGTTTCTGTACCTCTAAATAGAGTTCAATATTATTTTGGTAAATAAATTTACAATAGGTTCTTTTTTCAATTACAAAGATAGACTTCCTTTAGCATCTAGGTCTTCTCTGGTATATTCTTTCAGTTGTGCACAATGTGCATCTAGCTACGTCGGTATGACCGGCACGAGCACTTTTCACCAGAGTTGCCGAACATGCTGGAAGAATTTTCCGTACTGGGCGTCCACTTGCTCAGCCGCCTCATTCATCAGTCAGACTTCATACAGAACAGTGCTCACTTGCTCCTCCCTTGTCCATCAATCAATTTAAAATTCTTTGTAACGCTAGCAGCCAAACCGATCTACGAATTTTAGAGTCTCTTTACATCCATAAACTTGAACCTAAATTGAATAACCAATCTAGCTCGTTTCCCCTTTCGATTCTAGGTCAATAGTTGTGTTTTTTTCTTTTCTTTCCTCGTCATTTTCTAAATTTATTTACTAAAATTGATTTCCATGTATTTCCAGATGTATTGTACTAGCTGATGATGGGCATAGCCCGAAACGTTCTGTTTTGTTTATCTAGGACTTCTATTCAGTAAAATGTTTTATGCAACTTTTTTAGTTTTAGCCTTTATTCTTAAACTTAGAAGAACTCCTCGAGATATTGTGAACGAAATTCGATTTCTTAACGTAAAAATGTTCAGCCCTACAACTCAGCACTCAATTGGAACTGTCGTGAATATGGACATGGGCCTTGCATGCAGGCTTGCGCGATGCAAATTCCAATCATAGTTAATCCCCTTTTTCAAGAATGTCAGTGAAAAATTATCTAATCAAAACTAGTTCGTATCTCAAGGTTTGAATTCCTGAAGATAATTTAGAATTAAATGATTTACTTTCCCGTTACCTGAGAATGCATTGTGCCCTAGACGTTGAAACTAACACTGAACTGTTATGATGGTATGAGCTTCAGTAGGAAGTCCCCGCACTGACATTTTGTGTAAAAATTCCAAAGAAGTATTAAACTTTCAATGATTTGCACTCCATCTGTTACTTTCTCTTTTTGGCCGTTCAATAGTTAAATTATAGTACTAATTGGACCTCTCGTCTTCTACTTGACATTGATGTTTGATTGTCGCGTTCCTCGCCAAGCTCTCTAAGGACTTGAATAGCTCCTAGATTATAAATCCTTGCACAAAATAGATTATAAATCCATACACATCATGGATTACAAATCCATATACATCGTAGATTACAAGTCGACTAACATCATAGATTACAAGTCGACAAACATCGTAGATTACAAGTCGACAAACATCATAGATTACAAGTCGACTGACATCATATATTACAAGTCAACTAACATTATAGATTACAAGTCGACTAACATTATAGATTACAAGTCGACTAACATCATAGATTACAAGTCGACTAACATCATAGATTACAATAGTATCACCTGACATCATGGATTGCACATCTTTGAATCACTCGATATCACGGATTTGTAACCTGGTATACACAATTTATGCGTCGGCTGGTATCACCGATCCCGCGCGCCCGCATGCTCGCGCCTCAGCACATATCTGCCAACTATTCAAACAAATCGATAATATTTATTGATAGAAATTATTGCCTTTTCGCTCCATGCCTAATAAGGCAATGCATGCATTCAATTGTGTCACCACAATAATCATATCTGTCCACAACCTGGTAGCGGATATAAACAGCTCAATTACTCAGAGTGTTCGGTCAGCGATATTATGAGTGAAGGATTGACCTTTCGCTGGCTTTGACTCACCATTACAAGGATTTCCCTAACTTCAGCTGCAGTTGCAAACGAAGCGTTGTTTCTGGCGTATTGGTTTGCCGTGTTGTAAGCTGTAATAGCAACTCTTTTTGACTCTGAGTGATAGCTGTTTAGAAAAGAATCTTCAAGAGATCGTCCACGGGATTCGATTTTCGAATCCATTGTTCTTTTGTAAAGCTCAAATGCCATCTTACAGGTCTCATCGCTTTTGACGCGCACCATTATCTGAAAAGAAAATGTTAGAAGTAAGTTTTTCTCGCCAAATTTTACAGTTGAGAGCTCTCTTATACTGTTTTTTTAAATACGTATGGTATATCTTAGTTAGATATATACCATATACCAGTTAGATAGTTATTAATAAATTGAGAACATATATCGAATTAAAGTGTCAAGTCTCAGTTTCCTAGAAGACAGAGTATTTGAACAATAATTTTATCAAGCTCAACACCTGAACGAGGGTGGTCGGCAGAACTGCACGACGCTCTCTGAAGACCGCCATGTAGGTCCTGAAGAGGCGCACCAGCTCCTCCCCTGTGGCGGGTTGTCCACTCTGCGCAGCTGAGAGCTTCTCCACGAGGTTCTCAGGCGCCAGCAGGCGAGGCACCAGCAGCTTCATATGCTCCACGAATTCCTCGTCCAATTCTGTTCACCAAATTACTTGATTGAACTCAGATATAAATAGTAATAATTCAAGTCGGCCGAGTTACAAGTATTGACTTATTATTATTTTATAAAGAAAATTTACGTAACGGTAATCTGAGGTCTCAACATAAATTCTCCACTTTTCAGTGATACTAAGAATTTAAGAAATGAAGTCCAGGAAAACATTTTTAGTGTAAAATATGAATTTTTTAATTTAATGTACATAAGTAAAAATTTGTGTAGCAATTCGGCAGAACTTCTTTTCATGCAAGTTTGATTAAAGACCAGAGCATGATTTTATTGATAAACTTCTTATTCGTTTTTTTCCAATGAGTCGAACAAAATTTCTAGCTGGCGCCGGGAGATCAAAAAGCAGGTTGACAAATGACATTTTAATGGATTGCGATGTTTCAAAAATACAATTTTCATTATAAAGCTGGTAAAGTTTTACAACACTTGAAATTTAACTTTGAAAAATGACAGTGGTACATATCAATGCATAGTGGATACAACTTAAAATATTAGCTTAAAATACTCTGAAAATAATTTCAGCGTCCGGACAAATCCTGAAGTTTGGAGGTTGATAGCTGGAGACTCGCGCTTTCTTGATAATGATTCGTTCGGACGCTGAAATTAATTTCAGATTAATTTTAAGCTTAGATTTCAAATTGTATACACAATACCTTTGACTTATATTACTGTCATTTCCAAAATTCAATTTCAAGTGTTGCAAAACCTTCACCAGCTTGATAATGAAAATTGTATTTTCGAAACGTCACAATCCATTAAAATGTCATTTGGAAAAACCTGCTTTTCGATGTCCCGGCGCCAACTAGAAATTTTTTTCGACTCATTGAAAAAAACATTAAGATTGTTAATAAAAAGCTTACTCTGGTCTTTAATCAAACTTACAATTTGAAATCTGCACATATCTGAGATTGAATAAATTAAGTTCTAAAAACTCTCCTTCTGTTCGAATACCATCCCACGTGAAGCTGTGATTTAAAGCGGATCTAATTGTTCACTAATTTACTACTAACAACATAAATTCTTTTGTCCCAGCGAGCTCACGATTTAGTTGACCATCAAAGTCTTCATCCCTGATGGCACGCATGCCGATGTGCGGCATGAGGTAGCACTCCAGTTCCTCGAAACTCTTGCCGAGTCCTTCTCTAATATCCTGGTGCGCTGGCTCCTGATCTTCGTTTACCTGGTAATTGGGTCTGCATTAAAAAGGGCATTCATGATAATCAGTTATTTGTCACTTTTTGCAGCATTAGTAGAAATATCGTATGCAATCAAACATTTACAATTACATTTTCTCCGAATAATTCGCTACAATATATGAGATGTTGCTTCCATTCGTTCTACTATTAGAATAGAATCTTTAAACTCGGGCTCCGCAAATCGGAGCCCGAGTATCACGCACAGAAGGCATTATTCATGCTCCTGAGAATTGCTATGTTGAACCCTACCAATCTAGCCGCAACCGAAATTCTATCAATTCAAAATTGTATCAGCCGAAGCCAAAAACTGCGAGTAAATTTTAATTGTTCTTAATGATCTATTACATTCAGAATACGGCAGAATAACGTACAGAGAATAACGGACGGCAACATCAGAATTAAGTCATTCTGACCAGTATGCTCACAAGCCAAGCTTTTGGCGATCAATATTGTGTACAACTTACCGTCAAAATTCTCTTGAGTACAGTTTTGCCGCCCTGGTGGCCGTATGGATACTGCCTTGGAAAGTTCCAGTCTCGTACAAGGAAGAGTAGCTTCTGTATAGGAAAAATTCCAAATCCTAAAACTCGCTAATTTGAAGTTTAGTGTCATTTTGGTGAATAAATGAAGAGCGCCAGCGCACTTATGAATTAAAAATGTACTTTGCTAATGTTAAAATACCATTGACAATTAAATCATCAACAATAACCGAGACATTGGGAAACCCAAATCTTATTTTTGATAGCAGTGAGCAACTCAGAGTAAAATTTTTGTTAACGTACGCGACTACAGGGCCCGCCATATTTATGGCAACGGATGTTTGCTATATAAAAATAAATTGGTTTCTAGCAGACTTTTCTTTTATAATGAAGCTTAATATCATCTATTAGTTCATCTATTTTATATTGCAGATGTCTAAGGTGTCTGAATTTACTATTACTTATGGCAGTAGATAGAAATGCAATTGTAACCCTTCTTTAAAAGGGCGAGATTAATTCAGTCATTGCAAAAAAAGCTCCAAATTCGTCGTGAAACTGTTTGGAAGGTGGTAAAAAATTCAAGGAAACTGGTGAAACATGCAATCGACCTGGTCAAGGAAGGAAACGAAGTGTCCGAACAAAACAATTGGTCAAAAACACGAGGGAGAAGTTGAGGAGAAACCCTTGTCACTCAGCTGCAAAATTGGCTGCAGAAGCAGGAGTCAGTCAGACATCAATGCGCAGAGTCCTCAAAGATGACCTCAAAACCTCCCCTCACAAGATGCAAACAAGGCATGAACTAACAGACCGTCATGAACGAATGAGGCTCAAAAGATGCCAGCACATTCTGGATCTCATTGAGGATGGCACGGCACGCTGCCTAACTTGGTGTTCAGTGACGAGAAAATTTTTGACATTGAACAAAGCGTTAACCGTCAAAATGACAGAGTTTGGGGTCAGGATGGATATGTGGCAACCAGAACAGCAACACGACGTCAAAATCCCATGTCCGTGATGGTTTGGGCCGCGGTAACCGCCACTGGGAGGTCCCCACTCATTTTGTACCCTTAGGAGTGAAATTGAACAGTCAGCGATACATTTCAGACATTTTGGAAGCTGTGTTGTTACCTTGGGCCCGTAAACACTTCAACGGCCCACCATGGAGTTTTCAACAAGACTCTGCCCCATCACATGGCTCAAACACGACCCAAAACTGGATTCAGGGTCACATCCCAGCGTTCACTAGCAAAAATTAATGGCCCTCCGGAAGCCCTGATTTGAATCCTCTCGACTTTATTGTGTGGGCTATTTTAGAGAGTATAGGGTCTGCAGAACACCTCATGATTTTTTGGATAGTTTGAAGTCTAAATTGACACGAGAATGGGACATGATCCCTCAAGAAACGCTGCGTGTCTCCTGTGAAGCTTTCCCGCGTAGATTGGATGCTGTCATCAAAAATAAGGGTGGTCATATTGAATAAATATGTCTGAGAATTGTTTAGGTAATTCTTGGCTACTAGCTCAGCCAATAAAAAAAAAACAATGCACCTGTTTGTTTCATTGAGAAATAACAATAAACATGCGTTGCCATAAATATTGCGGACCCTGTATTATAGCCGTCATGGCCGAAATACTTTTCTCATAACGTTTCAGGCGCTACTGGGTGTCACCCTACTGCCGTGCATATGCAGCGCGGCCACGAACATTTCACTGCCGAACTGCAGGCAGTCACGAGCTTGCCGTTAAAGAACGCTTTTCAGCGCCGTTACGATACATTGACGCATGCAGTGTGCTTGTAGGCAACACGAGAAAGCCAGCAGATTGGCATGCAGCCAACTGCATGCGCATCGACTGCGCGGCTGCTTAAAACAGTATCGTTTAGATTCGTTCCTTCAAAACTCGCCCAAAGTATACAAATAAGTAAACATTGTATAGTATGTTCAAATAGTGTGTTCAAAATCCCTGTGAAATAATAAAAAATCATGTAACTATTAATCTATTTAGATTGTTGCGATAATATTGTTAATCATGACATTGCAGCCGTTCTGAACGAAGTTACCGGTCCCATTGTGTGCAGTCAGTACGATTCACACGCACCTCGCGGGTGACTACATATCGCTCAACTCTTCAAGTCCTGGCTTCTCGATAAGGGTTGAGGAATCATGTACTCCGAAAATACTAAGCTGTGTGTCCAAAGCGTAAATATTTTGGTAATTTTCAGTTAACAAGTGTTACATAATTCTAACGATCAAACTCTAAATTTGAAAAAAATACACGGGCAATATTGTAAGAAATGATACGTGATCCTAACAATCGGAACTTCAAATTGAGAATTTCTCGGAGCACAGTGAGTTTCTGTGAATTTTACATTTCGTCTTTCGATAATTTAGTTGTTTTTTGTCAGATACTGACAGGAGTTCTCAAGTGCCAATTCTCTACTGACGAAACTAAATATAAGAAATCGTTAATATATGTATTTGTGGTACTTTAAAATCTAAATTTTAGAATAAAGTGAGTGTCACAGTACTTTACTTCGTAACAATTGTTCAATGGGATTTAATTTGCTCATGATCGATCTTTGGATCAGCGAAAAGAGTCACTCACTAATTTGAGGAGTGGAAAACATCAAGCTAGGTTGCTTTCATGCCAAGCATGTCGTTCGCACTGTCTTACGACTTCCATAAGTTTGGCCTTTGGGAAAAATGTTTTATCGCCCAATCTAATTTTTTTTTTGTGTCGAATAGTTGCGTCTCTCCACCAAAATGACAAGTCTAAGGCTAAACGCGCAGATTTTCCATAATTTTGAAATCCATTCAAACTGAATTCTTTATTTTTCGTTACAAGATTCATAAAAAAAGGTTTCAGTTAGATTGCAATATTAGGACTTGAATCGCTGATATTTTTCATACAAAACTAGGTAACTTGTTAAGAAGTAATGCACATTTTTTGAGGACTAAATAGAATACGATTCCTTAGACAGATTCCTATTTTTCAGGTGTACTGTGTTAGGCGTCTCATTGCATAAACTCAAGTTTGCAGGAGACCCAACTCGCCATCTTGACGCTGATCGAAATTCGGGAGCCCATCGATCCGTCACATTGACGACACAGAAGCGACCAGTGTACAATATTCAACTTCTGAATTATATTTTACATCGTAAATCTCTCCCACGAAATTTCCAGTGCGAAACTCCATAGCATTTCATCCGCGAGGCGTGTGATACTACCAAATACTTCAATAATAGCGGTAATAAAGGAAAAGGTTTTATACTTAGATATGTAACAGGAAATTTAAGTGAAAAATTACATTGCCTTCGCACAAGCAATAAGGTTTTTTGTAATGGTGCACACCACGTGGATGAAGTGCTGAAGAATTTCCGGAGTTATCCTCAAACCTGAAACTCTATTCACTCGAATTGGCAGTGGGCAAGGGAGCTGACATTCAACGGGAGATGACATTCAACTAGTATATGTATTTATCGCATAAGATCATTACAATTTTGGCATTAGCTATCAGAAATTTGTGGGAACTCTGGTAGGTTTGAGCAAGAAGTATTTACACGAGTTTTGTGGCCTACAGGACTAAGAAGCAATTTACAACATTGATGAATCAATTCAGGCATCGCAAAGTAGATACCTTGGAAAAAGATAGGTTTCATACATTTGCAAACTTATATAAACACGTATTTGAATGACTAGAAATTGATTAAAATTAATCCCTAAAATTGTATATAGGTAATTCAGTGAACTTATTATAAATGTTTTTAAATGGTTGATAGTCATAAAATAGGCACATTCTTTCCTGGACACCAATCAAGGCACGGGTGGTCGTGATGTCTCAAGAAGAGGTACTAAATTAGTTAAGAAAGTGAAATCAAACGTTGTAATACAGATGTAATAACCAATCGAACAAAAATGAGTTTAGCTGGGCGTTTTCGAATAAAATTAAGTAGAAATGCGTCTTCACCTTACTTGATCTACGAACAACGATTTTACAATTTTTATAAATATACTTACCTGAAATGCGCAGGAGTTTTGGTTGATAGAGTTTTGCGCCAAGGTTCCGAAGGTGCAGAACGTCTGCAGGTTCATGAGGTCGTCCTCGCGGATGTTGTTCATCAGATTGTACACAGTTACGGAGGAGGTCAGCAGCGTCAGGGCGAAGATGAAGGTTGAATCCTTTAGGAAGTGGGACTAAATGATACTTTCACCAAAATACCGGCTGAATTACTTTAAGGATTTGTTCCGTACAGCCAAAGAAACGCCTTCCGTCATGGATTTTGAGACGAAGTGTCCTCGGATGAACGGCTGTGTTGTGTGTGTGATGTTACCGACACAACAATGAATTGAGGCATTGCAGAGATGCGAGTAAGCGTCTTTTTGGCGCACTTTCTCATTTATGGGAAAAAAGGCGCTGTCGTGCTCTCCATGTCCGTCAGTCAGTCTGTCTGTCTGTCCGTCCGTGACTTCACGTTTTCGTCGACGAGAAAATGCGCTCTCTGTCACTCACTGCAGTACTGAGTTATTTTTTTTTGTTAACCGTACTAGCTCTAGGTGCTTATACACCGGGTTAGTATTAGCTGCGAGTATGCGCTACAAGTATTCACACTCTCAGTCCATTATTAATGATTCTATTGATCACTATCACCAAGCACTTCAATGTATAAGCAAAGTTTGCAGCGCATATTCAGATTCATTTAAACCATGTCGCTTCTACGTTTCCTACCTACATAAAATATTATATCAGCGAAATGAGGCTAGAGTGAATTGGTGTAATTTGACATAATGACATCAAAACATGAGATGAAAATTCTATCTAAAATTTTACATCACTCTACTATTTGCAAAACCTAATCTATATTGATTTTTCAGGTATTTATAAAGTACAGTGAGATTAATTTTGAAACGCGGGCAAAATATAGACAGCGCCCATTTCTTCGAGCCGAAGATGTTTTGAACAACGGGCTTTGAATCATCAAAAATAGTTATGTACGGGTATACCTCCCGATAATAGATCATGAAGAAAGTGATGATAACTTATCACTCATTAGACTGTCGATTGTAGAAACAACCCCAAATATCAGACCTGCATGGATGTTTTGAAGTCAAACGTTCCTTGAGTGTCCATAAGAATCACTGCCACCTGAAAAAGAGGACAAATATGTAATAACTGTTACATATCAAGTTTATTTACGAACGAACTCAATTCAATTATCGAAAGCGTTAACTGCACGTTTTGTCCACTATATTATGCTTCACTTTGAAACTGTTGGTCCACTGTTCAAGATTAAACTTTCTGATTTTTTTACAACCGTCGAAATTTGAAAGATAATCATAATCGATAAGTGTACAACCTCAAAACGACTTCACGGTACTTGTGTGTTTTTCATTTTAAAACTTTGAAGATCATCCAATCGAATGCAGCTTCGAGGATAGTTTTTTGACACTGATGAACGCCAATAAATGAAAACTTTAACATGACCCCTAGCCTCATGCTGGCTTTAGAACCAAATTTGCCCAGTTTTCAAGTAATTATTTTTCTAGGAATTAGCGAAAAAAAAACAATTTTGAAGCATTCTACACCTAATTAATGACTCAATATATATCCAAATGTACATATATCCATATATTTGGTCCTTATATTAGTATTGTGCAGCCTTCCAGGACCAAGCGCTTGTTACTCGCTTTTTCTCCAGTCGGTTTGGTGAAGACGAAAGGCTCGCTCCAGATGTTGATTCCGGTGGTCTCTCCATCAATGCCCCCTCGCCAGACGAATCCTTCGAGTGGCTGCGATGGATTGCCTAACCAGTTTGCTGAGCCCTGGGCATCGGAATCCATGATGTAAAAATAAACTTTACTAACATAAAATTTTGTATGGGATCAGAGGCTTGTCCAATTCCCGTACTTTGACAAATAAGCAAATGAACTAGTAGCAATGTTTGTTTTTTATGCCATTGTCTGCCTTACAGAATTAGTTAATGAACAAATGTCTCATTCTAAAGCGACAACAAAGTCAAGGTTTTGCTTCAATTTCACTTGACTCCGGTTGTTCCTGCTCAGTTTTATTGAATAATAAATACAAATCCATGGTGAATACTCACTTTATTCGCGCAGTACTTCACTAGTAAATTCATGAGGAAGCTCTTGCCCTGCCTGAACGCCCCCGCCACGGCCACCACACAAACGGGTTTGTCGCCCACTGCAGAATTCAGCAGAATGCTTTTGAGGGCGTCTTCGTCCAGCTCGAACTTTAGACTATCATTCGTCTGAACAACGATAGGCACAGGGTGGCCTGACATGATTATCCCACTACTGCTGAAAACAACGAAAAGTATCTTTCTAACGAAATTTCTGTTATGAAGATCAAAGAACAATTTCGTTAGTAAATAGTATTATCACCAATAAGGAAGATCAAATAATAAACCTAAGAATAAACCTGTTGACCTGATATTTTTCACTGTCGGCTAGCCTGTAACGTTGAGATTAACCATCAGTGAGTCTAGTGATGGGCACAATCCGCTAATCCGGACCAATTAGCTTCCGCTAAATTTAGTTCCGCTAACTGACAGTTCGCTAAAAATGTTTTAAAAATGTCTTCTGATAGAAAATTCGGGTGTTAATATTTATTGCTAAGTATCATTAGCCGTGTGCCACACTAATGACTGACTACGTCAACATATGTACGTCAACCAATTACGTCTTCTACACTCAAGCGTATAGAATGTTGCCAAGACCTTGGATAAGATCTAGGAAGAGGATCAGGCCTATCTCGGGAGCCTTCTGCCAACTGCAGCAGCTATTATCATGAAGTTGACGGAGGCCAGGCCCAAAGGCCTCCTGTACTGCAGTCCTCTGGTAGACGCAATGCTGGCAGGCATCACAAAAATGTTTGGGCCCCTCCTATAGAAGACAAGGAGTGCCAGCTGGCAACTGCCTTCCATCATAAGTTTCACCTGTTCTGGCTGGAGAAGCATAATCATAGCATCTCAGCAGGGTACAGAAGGCCAGGGAGACCGCCGTGGAGACAGCCCTGACCATTGAGGAGGGCAGCAGCACCTTCAGCAATGACGAGGATGTGGAAGATGATTTCATCAATAGCGTCACTCAGCCCCAGGAGTGTAGGAGTCACAGGTCACTGAAGTCACTTCAACAGCACTGCTACAGCAGTACTGCTACAGCAGTACTTAGTGAAGACCTAGCTGGAGGCCAGCTCAAAGGAGGTCCCGACTGACGTTGCCCTGTTGGGTGAGCAGGTGTTGATGTACCTTTTTGTTAAACACAACACGGTCATCCCATCCAGTGTTGCAGTTGAGCGCCTGTTTTCCATAGGCAAGAACATCTCGAGGGCCAAGAGAGCCATCCTGACAGACGTCAACTTTGAAAGGGCAACAATCATCACATTAAGGAGATGAAGGGCAAGCCAGAGTAAAAGCAGTGTGTAACCCTGCTTTTACCGTTTTTTATTTATTAATAATTCTTATTTTTCAATAAGCTGTATGTTTAATGTCAACTTGGCATGCTTACACCTTTTTGGGAAGCTCCTTGTCAATGCTACAACATATTAAAAGTTCAGCTCTCTAGGTCTTTTTCTCAGAGTTTTAAAGCCCCCCAAAAATTAAGCCAAAGCTAAATTGATATACTAAAAGTTAGCAGTTAGCGGTTAACTCAGCTAATTTCCTCGGCAATTTATCAGTTTAGCCTTATATAAGCTAACTTTTCAGTTAGCGGATTACCGGTTATCAAAACTAACTTTTCGGTTAGCTGTGCCCACCACCGACCATCACCTAAGTAATGGACACACTAGTATCAACCATTTAATTTCAAGAATAACCTATTAGGAGGCATGTTTCTCAGCACCTTTTTCAGTTCATGTGACATACAGGGGTTGATAAAATATGGGAAACACCAAACATTTTGAGATCATAATTTTTGAACACATTATAAACAATAAAAACGTGGCATATTTCAATGTTCAATTTTGTTGATAAATGGTATTTTAAGCCTTTGCAGCTTTTTATAGAAAATTTCTGTGACTATAATCTTATAAAATGGCAAACTTTTCTGAATTTCAATGATGCTAAATTGTTGATGCTAGTATGACCGGTGCTAGTGTGAAAGAAAATTCCCAAACGATCAACGTTTCAAGAGGTACTGTCTCATAAGTGCATGATTACTGCTCTTGAAAGGAGGGAAAAATGTCCTCGGCAAAGCACAGGTCTTGCCGAGAGTCAAATTCGTCTGAGAAAGGCCGTCGGTCTCTAAATCAAATTGTTCCGAAAAATCGGAAGATCACGGCTGTAAAAATTACATCAGACCTTAATGGACACCTAAAGAACCCATTTTCCCTAAAAACTGTTTGTCAGGAGGTGCAAAAATTTGAATACAACGGAAGAGCAGCAATTAGTAAAACTCTGGTTTAAAAATAATTTAATGCGTTTAGAGGGGTCTAAAAGCCTTCAGAATTTGTCCCTCAAGCAGTAGGAAAATGTGACTTTCTACGAAGAATCATTGTTTGCCTTATTTCCTACCTCAGCCAAGTGTACGTTGGAGAGAGCTGAAAAAAAGACCAAAAGAGGGTTAAACTGGGGTCTAGCTGAGAGAGGGTAAAAAAGGGTTTAATTGAAAAATATGCTAAATTGCTTCGGAAATTATTCACAAATTGTAATAATCAATGCCTCGGAGAATTAAGGCAGTGTTGCCACAAAAGGTGTACCTACACCACTACACCATACTAAAATATAAATGGTGCATTCATAAGGCGTTTCCCTTATTTTGTCCAACCCCTGTACGTATATCAGACATTCGGGTGCCATGATGCTGTTGATACATTTAGTTAAACATAATAGCTTTGTGAAGTACATTGCTCACAGAGCAGAAAATGCATATTGAGGGTTCATGACTATATTTGGTTTATGAATTATTTTTGATGCATTAAAGAATAGACTTCAAAATCTGTGGTTCAAGACAAGATTTCAAGTGCTGAAGGCAAGAGATTGGCTGCATAAAAATAATATAAAAAAATTGCGTGAAGTTCAAAATTTTTACTATCTATGTAGCATAAACAAATTAAGAAATCATCCATTTCCTTCCTCTAAAAAATCCCCAAAAAAGTGTTAAAAGTGAGATTTTGGAAAAGTACCTCTGCCAAGGTCTGTGGCAAAAAAATATTTGCCGTATTAAAAAATTGTACTTACATAAAAGTTGTACACAGGTGTTGTCTTAAAAATGTGATTGACAAAATTTGCATATATAATTCCAAAAAAAATAATTGCGGCCATGTCCGACCGACGGGGCAAAAAAGGACACCCCCCGGGGCAATTAGGGGCACCCATAAAAATGCATTTACAATAGAACCTCAGCTAGCATAGGCTCCAGTTAACCAAAAATCAATCAACAACAAAAAATTTTGATAACATTTGTCCTGCTCAGTAACGAAATTTCATTAAACAAAAAATTAATGCATCATCAGTCATCACAAAATTGTGCATAAAATGTTATAGATAGAATTGTGCACCGGGAAACATAGAATGAAAAGTAATTAACCCAACTATGATTTATTTCTCCAAAAAATATTATGGTCGTCATTAAAATATACCTTTCTGTTTCAGGTATGTTTTACAATCTTTTGATATAGTGAATTCACTTGACCCAATTAAAATGATGTGAAATTACAGGCCCTCCTGTAAGCTTACAGATACAGAAGAAATGCATAATGGCTATTGATATGAAGCTTGCAGTAGACAAGGTTGTTATAAATGCACAATGGCGTCCACTGATACTGCAATATCACATCATTTATACGATAAAGTATGGATTTGGTAATATCATATCAGTAATTTAAAAACAAGTAAAAATCACTATTAATTTCATTTATTCTACATCTACATCATCTACCAAGGAAGAGGACTTCAGAGTACTGTTAGTAATGGACGAGTACACTCTGCATGCTTCAAAAGTTTTAAAATTGAGTTTTATTTCTAGTGTCCCGGATTACCCTGTTCCCAGGGGTATATACTCAGATGGGTAAAACAGGACCGAAACCACTAACAAGAAATGTAGCATCTATACCATGAATAACTAAAAAATCCTAAACCTATCACAAGGTGTAGTTATGCAATAAGCTTCAAAGCTACAACTCAGACTTTTTGCATACAAAACAGTTTTCTGTACAGATTAAAAATTATGAGCTGGTCCCATCTTACCCCACTGGGGTAAGATGGGACCAGGCTGGGGTACGACAGGACCAACTGGTAATTCTTATGTTACAAGGTTTTTAATAAAAGTACAAAGCTGATATTCAATATTATCCATTTATAAACACATTATTTGATTAAACAACCACTTGTTACAGTTTTGTGCTGCAGGAACTCAACTCTAATACTGGTCACATTGGAGTTTTTGTCACGAGAAAACTTTGTTTAACTTAACGACCACATTTTTTTAAAACGCAAATATTTTTTATAATAATTTTTAATCATACGGTCACTAAGTAGTGTAAAGATGAGTATGGAATATTGAAAATTGTATATTGGAAAAATGTAAGGCAACATTTCAGTCCACTTGGTCCTACAAGATCCCAATATTAAACATGACCATATGATTCATTTAGTCTTTTGAGCTCAATATATAGATGATATTATATAGCTGGCATAGCTAATAATACATTTATACATTACCTTTTATGGAAATAATAAGAAGTCTGAGAAACTTGCAAGAAACTCTAGTCTTTTAGCAAAAATGACAAAAATTTTATTAATCAAAAAGAGAAAGATTAAAATTTTAAAATAAATTTTGTGTGTTTTCAACATCCTTGATGTTGGGAAAACATCAAGGTTGTTGGGCCAAAGACGCCAGGGCCAAGGTTGTGAGGCCAATGTCTAGGTGGAGAGGCCAGGGTTAAGGCTGAGAGATCCGAGTCTAGGTTGAGAGGCCAGGGTCCAGGCTGAAAGGCCGGGGTCCATTTCGAGAGGCTAGGGTGGAGGCTGACAGACCAAAGTCCAGGTTGAGAAGCAAGGGTCCAGGGTCGAGATTGAGAGGCCAAGGTCTAAGTTGAGAGGCCATGCAGAGGCCAGGGTCTAAGTTGAGAAGCCAGGGTCCAGGCTGATTAGCCGGTTATCCAATTTGAGAGGCTACGGTGGAGTCCAGGTTAAGAAGCAAAGGTCCAGGTTGAGATTGAGAGGCCAGGGTCCAGCTTGAGAGGCCGCAGTGCAGGTTTAGAGACTGGGGTCCAGATTGAGAGGCCAGCCAGGGTCGAGATTAAAAGGCCAAGGTCCAGGTTAAGAGGTCAGGGTCTAGGCTGAGAGGTCAGGGTCCAGACTGAGAGGCTAGGGTCCAGGTTGAGAGGCCAGAATCCAGGTTGAGAGGCCAGGTTTCCACCTTCCAATCTTTTAATTTAAATTATGATTTATTCATTTTCTTCTTCAAATTTGCTTTCAGAACTGATTTCAGGCGTATCGGTGAAACCAATATCGTATCCAATATCAGAAGACTCTTGATCCAGAGTCTTCCTTAGATTCAATAGAGAATAGAGTAGAAAGATGTTGTTCACATAGATTGGGACATTTTCTTGGAGAAGAAAAAGTTTTTATGCTAAAGCTCTTGAAGGAGTCTGAAAGGCAAAAAATATTACACGTACACTTCTATAATGCGATCATTTGGCAAGTGTATGGAGACATAATATTGGTAAACTGAATTGGTGTTTCTCACTAGTAGTGAGAAAAATATTGTAGAAGCGCACTAAATTAGAGAATAGTAATGAAAACACAATTATTATACATAATAATTCCCTACTTGCATGGTCGAAGGACCAACATGACTCAACGGTCACGTTTCAAACAACGCAGTTGTAAGTCCAACTGTACTGTTTTACTGAATAGTTGAGTTCTGGCAGTGATCGAGGACGCACGTAGTGTTTGCGGGTCCCAACTTTCTCACTTTTTACTATGCCGGTTTGACTTATCTCGCGAAAAAGGCACGAAAAGGAAAAGAATCGGCGACAGGCCACATCAGGCCTACACTTCAGCGCCGACATCACTATGTTATGTTATCTTATGTACTGAACGGTCGCCTTTAGAAACACAATGTGACATATGCATGTAATTTTTACCTTATGTTCAAATTTTGCATGTGCACCCACTATTGTACTAGAAACAGTGTAAAATTATTTCAATGCTGTAACTTATCTGATTTTCCCGCCATAGTCCAATAAAGATTGGGGAACTTCAACAAATAAATGGCACCACGGATTCCCAACAAGATCAGTGCTGTACTGCGTAGTTAGCGGCAAAGAGTAGAGTTGCACCGCCACTGACTGGTCGACCGCCAAGAAACTGGCCGTGGCTCCTGGGAAATCCTCAGTCACGCTCTTCACCCCCGACACTCACCAATCCCGTCTACACCCCTCTGCAACAATCTGCAATGGCATCATCCCCTTGGACAAAACCCCCAGAGTCCTAGGGGTCACCTGGGATACCCATTTTATGTTCTCTCCTCTTGTCAGAGCCATAGCCACCAAAGCAACAGGCTCTTGACGCATCTTGAAAGCCCTGGCCGGCACCAACTGGGGCTTCTCCAAGAAAGACATCATTGCCACTTACCGGACAATTACTCGCCCAATCCTCAATTATGCTGCCCAAATCTGGTACCAAGTTGCCTCACGCACCGCAATTGCAAGTCTCCAAATCATTTAAAACTCAGCCCTGATACTAGCCAAACGCTGCCTCAAGATGGCTCCATCGCCTATCTCTACCATGAGACCGGCGTCCTCCCCCTGTCCGCCCACCTGGACCTGGCCTGTGCTCAATTTCTCGCCGGCGCCCTCCAGCCTACCCATACTTCTCTCAACATCGTCTCTGCTCGTCCCAGAGACCGCCTCATGCAAGCCTCAATCAGGACGAGATTCAGCTACCTTGTGGCGCCTTTCCTGGCAGACGGCATCATGCCCGACGGTGCCTGTGGAGAGGCAAAACGCTCCCTCCGCAGGGAGATAGCCTCCCGTGTTGCGGCGACTACCGTTGACAACGCTGTCCTCGCATCCCACCACCACCGATTGCAGCAGAAGAGGCCTCGCTCCCTCGCCCCTACCGCTCAGCGCTATCCCAGCTCCGCTCGGGATACTGCAGCTCCCTTGCGTTCTACACCCACAGGGTCGGACGCTCCCTTAGCGCCGCTTGCTCGGAGTGCGGGGATCCCCTCCAATCCGTCCAGCACCTCTTCGTATGCCCCTCCTTCCCCACGTCCCTCAGCATCTCATCATTATGGGACACCCCCGTGGAGGCGTCGGCGTTCCTGGCCACCCTCCCTGCTTTCGCCCATCTTCCCCCTCTTCCGGTGCCACCCCTCCGACCACCACCAGAGCCGCCGCCCACGCGAGCGTGACGTTTGGCGCAAGAAACAACAATGATGGAGAAGTTTTCGTAGGAACCGGGGCATGACTCCGACTCAATATTAGATTTAGCGAAACGCACCGACGGTACTCGCTGAAAATTTTGGTTGCTATTGAAGCTGCCAAAGCAAAAACGAGATAATCTAGAATCTTTCATCATCGAAGACATTACATCAACTGGACAGCTAGTAGTTTCCGAACGCACAAATGCTTTAGTTTCAAAGTTTCGCTGTACTCCAGGAGTACTAATATGCTCTTTGGAATTCAGGTTATCCTCGAAAGAGCTACCAGAAGACTGGCTTTGGGCCTTCTCTTGTGTTTTCTGGCCTTCAACATCCGTCTGACCGACAGAGGGGATATCGCTGACAGATTCAGTGCCACATATTTCCGTGTACCCACACAAATTATCGTCAAGGCTGGTCTCTTCAGGCTGAGAGCCACACACATAAGAACTACACACAGCTCCATCGTCAAGATCACTTGAGTGATCCAAGCACAGACCATCAGGATTTTTAGGCGACATATCCAGATATTTCTCGGCCGAGGCGTGGAAGGAGAATCGGGGCGTCTTCAGTTTCGGAAACGTAACATGTGACGCTGGAACCATAAGAGGCGATGTTAAATTTTCTTTAGATTTTCAGTTTCCATGCCCACCTGCGAAGGAGTAAGTGCTAGCGGACTTAGAGGCAGATTAAGTTTGCACTTATCAAGCCGCTGGGACTCATTTTCTTTGAAATCTGTTAGCGGCCTTCCTTCAGCCCCGTTTTCTGCATCACTCACTTTACGATTGTCTTTCAAAATCTCAGTTTCATTCGTCGTCTTTACAAGCTTTACGGTTGAAAGAAAATTATGAAGCAAAGATCTAGCTTGAGGCTGTTGAGGCTTAATGGATTCTGGACTGAGGAACTTCTCGGCTTCACCCCGACCATCTCCGTCAATCTTCGTAGAGCTGCGCGAAGGAAGCATTTGCCGTTCCCGCTTTTTATCAGCTTGCATGTCATTTCGAAAGAAATCAATGGAATTATTTTCACCCTCGTCTCGAGAGTTTACCTTGGCTCGTGTACTCGTCATTTGCCCTGTGTCGCCGTCGCCTGCACGGTGCCTGATGTTGAAGGTGGGGTGCCTGCTGTTGAAGCTGGGCGGCCAGCCGCTCCTGCTGAGGAACCTGAGGTAGCCCTGGGCGCGGCTCAGCTCCACCTGTTCTGCGAGGTCCTGGCAACTCTCAACCTCGCCTCTGGAGCTCCCAGGCATGGACCCAACTCCCTCATCCTCCGTGCTCTCGGAGTCGTGGTGTTGGTGAGGAACACAGAATGACAGGCGATGAAACACCCTATGAAACAGTTTCAACGTACTTTAGTAGTATATCAAATCTTATAAACTGCAATTCATTATTTTCAGTGGAAATTCACCAACTATTCCCTAAACCATTCTTGTTATTCAGGAAATAGCATAAGTATTAAGGCTATAACATAAATAGTAAGTATTAAATCCAAGTTGTTACATGAGAGTGCCCAACTGTAGTTTTTACCGGGCATCTCAAGTTAGCTGCTTGTTGGATAAATGAATTTCCTCCGGAATTTCATCTCACAGTAAATTCTGGCGAAATCATGGGGAGCAGTTGCTCAACAATCTGCTCAAAGGAGGGGCGCAGATCCTGATTATCCATCCAGCAGCTGTTCAGCAATTCGGCCGTTTTGGCCGCCCTTCCCGGCCCCTCGAGCCACAGACACGCTGTCTGCACGTCCTTTGGGGCTGGCGGCTCCTGTTACGTAAATGACAACATAACATCTCATTTTATTTCTCACTTGTAAATTCTATGTCTATACTGACCACTGAAGATAGTGAGGTAGGGTTTTTTGTTGTTAAATAATATCTAATAAGCAGCGTATGATATATTCAGTGGGACTTTTTTTCTTGTTTAAACTAATCACTGAGAAGCAGCGTATGATATACTCAGTGAGGTAGAGTACCTTGCCAGCGTAGGGCTTGTTGGAGCATGTGATGAGCTGCCAGAGCAGCACTCCGTAGGACCACACGTCGGACTTCAGGAAGAAGACGATGCATTCGTGGCCCGAGTGCAGGTCTTGAGTGCGTCGTTCCTCGGGGGCAATGAAGCTCGGAAGGTAGATTTTGAGACGCTTCCGATGCGGCAAATCTACAACAATTGAACTATATTTCTACTAACGATACACAGGGCAAATGTACATGAACATGCATTTTCTAACTGCTGTGAGTAGCGTAAAAATATCTATGTTCGCCGTATATTTATGGAAAACATTTCGCATTAATTTGAACAGAAGCCTAGCTGAAACACTGCATTTAGATCTACAGTATTATTTCCGATTGCTATGTCTTGTAGTTTGTCAATTAACTTTTGAAATCTGCTCTGTAAATTTCATAACTGTTAACTGATGAAAATTTTATTTTAAAAGTTTTGAAATAACAGTGCATCTGAACTCTGAAAGGTTTTCCGAAACGATATAGTGATTTAAGGTGGTTGTTTCTTTCTCGTCAAAATACCAAAAAGAATTATCTCGTCAAAATACCAAGAAACAATAATTTCATTAAATATGAACACCTTAAATGCCTCCCGGATCGAACATGGTATTAACATAAAACGAAAAGTTAGTAATGGGTGCCAACCCGCATTTGTTTACTAGAGCAGCATTTAGTTTACTGACATGAAGGGAGCGCGTTTGGAAAGTATGTAATGTCTTATTGCATTTAACACCCTGAAGTATGAAGAACTTGAAAAAAATGCGAAATCCTTTATCCATTGCACCGCTCAAGTTGCTACCCTTACTTTCAATAAGAGAATTTAACTGAAAAATAACAAAGAAGTGAATAATATTTTTGATACTACGAAATTGCAGCTCACCGATCTGGTAGTGGTAGCAGCAGCGTTCAGGAGCCAACTTTCGTGATAGACCAAAGTCTGCGATTTTAACTAAGAACCTTCGAGTAATGAGGCAGTTTTTCGGGGCCAGGTCGATGTGGATGATTCGATTGGACGCGATGTACGCCATGCCGTCCGCTATTTGAATGGCAAAGTTGTACACCATCTGAACAACGGACAAGGATGACAACGAACATTTGAATCTTAATAGGAGAACACGTAGGTAATTATTTACTAACAAATGGTACATGCAATACAATTATTTACAGAAGTGAAGTGTATATTTTCAAGTGAAATAAGATGCATAAAAACCCATGGCAATAAAGATGCAAATTATTGTTCAAAGTTATCGATGAAACGTCTCTTAACTAGTTTCTGAGGCCACGAGAGATTAAATTAACAAAACCACACAACAAAGTTCTGAAATGAGAAATATCTAATTTATTCAACTTCAAAGTTGTTTGGCTACCAAAGCAAGAGCTCAACTGGTTTTCTGGTCCAAAAGTCTGTAGGAACCAACTACCAAACATAGTAGTTGTAAATTTACGAAGTAGGCTTCAAAAATACTTAATCGATGTAAAAATACTTAATAAGTACGGAGAACCACTGTCGCGTGGCTTTAAATGGCAGACGGCCATTACGACATATTTTTACGTTTCCATGAAGATACGGTGAGTTTACTGGACGTTTTCTCTGCGTTTAAATTTTTTATGAACTAGTGATTAAATCAGACTAATGATTAATTTATTTAATGCATTGAGTGGCGAGACCTGCTCAGTACCGTGGTTGTTCCTGATGAATTCTTGGAGGTTGCCCCCGTCCAGAACCTCCATGAGGATGTACATGTTGGGTCCCTGCACCACGGCTCCTTCGAAACGAACCACAAACGGACACTGCCTCAGGCATCTGGCCAAAACCACGCTTGTTTAGTGAGTTACGCTAATTAAATAAATACGGGATTTTTCTTATGATTACTTTTCACAATGATTAATAAAATGAAGCGATAATAATAAAAAACACTTGCTACAAAAGATACAACAAAGCACAAAATTGAGAATTTGTTAACTAATACCACGAAGCTTTATATAACTTGGGCAAGCAGTTATACACTTTTCTGATACCTTTAACAATAGTTTAAAACCAAAGTAGCTTCTATTTCGAGCATAAAAAAATGCTGGCCTCTCTGTTGTACTTATGTTATCTCTGTAACGCCACTCACTGCAAGATGCTGGCCTCTCTCTTGAATTTCTTCTTCCTCAGCTCGTACTATTCAAAGGTCAGGTCGGGCAGGTCACACAGAAGCTCCTTCACAGCCACCCGCTTGCCCAGCCTCCACCGCCCGCCATCAGGACGTCTTGCCAGCTCCTGCAAGCCTTCATAACGGCCGTTGTCATCACTATCTCCTCCAGAAAATAAAAATGAACAATTAATGATTACAAACAGTGTAAATGAGCTGGGCTTTGTTACCTAAAATTCTGCCGATCGCAAAAGGTCGGTAGTTCCAAAAATTTTTGGAACACACAGCTTCTCGTGCAGTTTTCCGAAATTCAGATTGTGATCACAACATTTAAAAAATAATGTTTTAATTCTTTTCGAGACATTAGTTAATTAACGCCAATTAGTAACTTCTATTCAGTGAACAACGAAACTCCGCACTCATAGGAATCGGTATCAATATTTTTATCAGAATCATTATATTACTTGTGAACTGAAGGCTCACCGACCTCTCGCTACAGACTCCGCATCCTGCCCCGACGCCGGTTCCAAAATCCAGCCCAGGGACACGGTGCCAAACTTGCCAGACCCGAGGCGGCCTCCTCGCTCCGGGGGGATGATCAGGAGCTGGTCCGCAGGGATGAAGAAGTCGTCGTAGATTTCCATGGTTGGCGAGGTCAAGGTATTCACGTATTTGAAGCGATGCAATACGAGTTCTTTTTTTGAGCTCTGCTCATGTCATCCGTGGGTATAAAAGTAATTTTTCAATGGTTTCGCTCAATTCTAAATAAATGTCGATAACTAAGAATGAAATAAGGGAAATATCAGTAGGTAATTTTGGTGAAGAGAATATTCAGCCAGAACGAAAGCACAATATTTGTTGAGGCTATGGAAAGTTTGTTAACGAGAAAGTTTGCCACTAACGCAGGCAACTACTCTCTGAAATCGAAACCGGCTTCGCAAGGTGACATTTCGTGTATAAAAAGTGAAATAAATAACATCCGATAAGCTATCAAAACATCGTGCCATTGCAAAAGCTCATTTATTATATATTTTCATTAGTACTTTATACATTTCACTATCTTGATATGATAATAGCTACTAATAATATGATAATAACTACAACTCCCACAACTGGAGCCATCAACCAGCATCACGTAGGCGCATGGCTCGGGTTATGTTGCTTTTCGAACTGGTTGGGCGCGAGAGAGTAACACAAGCGATGTCTGAGATACAGCCCACGACGATGATGACGACCAAGAAGACGCAGCACAGCACCAGCAGCGCCGCCAACGTTGATTGTGATCCCTCAATTGTGAGGGATTGTGAGGCCAGTCCCACTCTGGGACCGAGACCGGTCCCAGGATGGGTCCGGTCCCGGACCCATTTTGAATGGATTTTAGGACGACTTTGAATGGATTTCAGGACGAATCTTGAATGGATTTCAGGACGACTTTGTGGGTTGAGCCGCTCAAGCATCGGGTCAGAAGGCCCGGTATTTCGAGAGAGTAGTTAGGAACCCATCCACCTTTTGGCCTTGCAGGAGGAGTCCACGATAGTAAGTAAGAATTAGAGGAGACGTTCAGAGTTTCGAGGCCAACATTTATGGATGCGTTCGGGGAACGATTCACTGGTTCGGCATGGTTTGACGCTGATTCATTATAGAAACTATTTGCAGCTAAACCAAGTGATGTGTTTGGTCTCAGTATTTCCTTCAGGTTTGCTTCTATTCTGGACTGTGTGACCGTGGCTCTCTTGTCCTGCTTTAAGCTCAGCGTCAGGGAAGTCGGGCGACACGACGAGCAGATGAGGATCAGTTAGGCTCTTACTCGGAAGTTTCACCAACTGCAGATCGCTCACAGAATCCAAAGATTCTATTTAGAAAAATAGGCTATATCAGCATTATACGAACAGCAGGGGTATCTTTTTGAGAGGTTTTCAATTTTAATGATACATTAACCTTGAGTTAGAAAATACACAACAAACAGTGCGGGTCTTCACATGCAACACGACAGTAATACAAATTATGAATATTAGTCATATTTAATCCCTAAACTTGGCAATAATGGCTCTCATTGAAAATTCACGACTGAGCTCAATGAAAATTTTTGAAATTAAAAAAAAAATGCGACGTACTATCGTCCTAGCGCGTCTATTCTAGATCGATAACGCGTTATGTGATGAGGTAGAAACTCCAAGTGAATAATAAAATGAAATTTACCTCGAGACGCTATTCAAGAAAACACGTCATGTAAAGTTTAATATTCTACATTTTATGTAAAAACTCACGTACTACTGAAGTTCCTAAATATTATGATAAATTAATGGTGCCGGTACAGTGGCCCGTCGTTTAATGGTTTTCGAATTAAAAATCAATTACCAAGACTCGGGGACGTGAGGGAGATGTTCACTCACGGGGAGCAAAGGGCCACAGGGACGCCGGTGGGGAAGGGAGCGACGACAGGGGCTGTGACGTTAGTAAGACAAGCGCGCACAGACACCTGACAAGGACGATGAACCTCTGAGCTACAGCCATGGAATTGTCAGAAAATACGGAACATAAAGTATCCTGCTCAAAATATATTCATAAATGAACCTAACTGTCAGGGTAACCATAAAAAAAATAAGCAAATTTGTAAGATACCTGCCGGCAAAACGTACGATCACAGGAATGAGTGGGGGACTTCCAGCGTCACGGGACACAAGAAGCGAGCTTAAGCTTGAGGCTAATTTGGCGATTAATTCGTTTTATACGGCGATTACTGAGAACAAAATAGCATATCTTTTGAGAGGTACGGTCATGTATATATATACTTCTCATCCACGTCAACTGCTGTTCACGTGACAGTTGGAAATGATGAAATCTTACATGTTTCACCATTGTATTTTGTAGCAAAAAAACTAGTATATTCTAAAAAAAATGACGGAACCATTAGAAAAGAAACGTATTTAACCTAATGTTTATATTCACAATTTACTCATAAGGAACAACAGCGTTTAAGCAATGGCACAACCTATGTGGGTAAAGCCGTCTATTATCGACGCAATTCCTCTGCCGCTGCATAGGTTCAAGTTTCGGCCCACGCAGTTGACGGAACTTTTATTTATCCAAAAAAACTGATGAGTATGTATTGTAATTTTACCCCTGGTACTCGCTTATATAGCGATATAAAAAAAATATTTCAAGCGACTTCTTTTTTAACAAGATGAAGCACTCTTCGGGCGGCGTCTTCACCGACCTGGAAGTCCACAAAGTAGCCAAGTCAAGGGAAGTGGGTGTCGTGTCTGCCATCGTGCGCGTGAGGGACAACATGGACCGCACAGTCTCCTGTGCACAATAATTTCCAACTTCCCAGTTCACTTCAAACAGAAAAGATATTCTAAGTCCAGGCAAGAAAAGCCCTAAAAATTTCAAGACAATAAAACTTAGAGCGCTGGAAATAAAAATCAGGCAGATTTATCTTTCCAGTCGACACCAACACATAAGAACATAAAAGTCAATGGTTAAAAGAAGATCGATAAACTTGAAACTTTATATCTTGAATTGAGAAAAATTCTAAATGACGTCAGAACACAAGAATCAAGCATCAACACACAACAAGATACAATACACATATTTCTCACCGCGGTCAAAGGCGACGAGGCTGTAGAGCTGCCACTGGATGGGGCCGCCGTCCATGCCGCAGAACTCCTGCTGCTCCAGAGGCGCCTGGTGTACGTACTTATCTTCTGACGCAGGCGCGTCTGAGGCCAACGACAAGGAAGGAACGTCAGCCACCTGACTATGAGGCAAGTCAGCTGATGGCGGCGTCTGGGGCCAACGAAGAGGAAGGAACGTCAGCCACCTGACTATGAGGCAAGTCAGTTGATGGCTGCGTCTGGGGGCCAACGACAAGGAAGGAACGTCAGCCACTTGACTATGAGGCAAGTCAGCTGAACAGAATAGAAGTGTCGGCACTGAAGAAATAGGCCCATAGCTGTTGGATGGCGGCGACGTCGTCGTTTGCGTTTCTTGGTTCGCTGTTTTGGCAGCTGGCCGCTTCTGTTTGTCCGGAACAACGTTCAAAGTTGAGGAAATTACGTACCTACTAAACGAAAGCAAGAGTTCTTTGAAGTCCAATGTTTTGAGCTGCTCGCAAGACTATTTGGATGGAAAGAAACTTTTTTTCGAGCGATATGAAAGCAACTTGATTTTTCTAGATTATTAAGATCAGCTAGGAAATAGATGCACTCCCACGAAGTATTTAGATCGCTAACTCCTCAAACTAAATGATTTAAAGTGAGCCTGATGAAGGACAAAACCATTGAATTTCATTCAATCGTATATACGACATTGAAGATTATCCGGAAAGTACATTCTGATCCCTATCAGCAGACACTTACTTAAATATGTCAGCGTTAATTCTACTGAAGAAGTAAACGCGGTCCAGCATTCGCTTGTTTTCCAGCCACTCCGCCTCTCCGGCGTCGAACTGGGGGCTGTAGCAGGCCTGGGCGCCGCCCTGGTGGCAGTCCTGGGCCTCCTGCTGGGGCTCCTCGGCCTCCTGCTGGAGCTCCAGGGCCTGCTGGTGGAGCTCATGGTGGGGCTGCAGCCCGACGGACGAGTCTGGTCCTGGAGTGATGACTCCATCTTTCTTCATGGCTGTCGATGGTTGTGTTACTGTGCCTTAGGGAAATAATATAAAAAAATAATCATAAAATTTACTGGCAACTGAGAGGGATGAAAACCGTTAATTATACAGGCTTTTAATTGCACATTATTGCACTGTACAACTGGATTTCTTTTTCTCTTTCTTTAGTATTAAGTACTCCTTACGTATTTTTTCTTCATACACCTCGTGGCAACGCTCAAGAACCATTCAATTAGCCGCCACATCTCGCAGGTAGATTATACGTTAGCCCGACACTAGCGACGACTAGGTCATATTTGTGCTATCACTGTTTCAGTTTTTCAATTTTGACTTGAAATATTAATTAAGCGTTATCTTGGCCTTGTCATACGAATAGTCTTATTTGTATCTATTTACTATGTCATCTGTTTTTGCATTTGTTTGTAAGCCAAATTGTCACTAAAACTTGCACGCTTAGAGCCTTGTAGGAAGGAAATTCATCGGTGATTAAGTTCCTCATTCTGGATTCAGATATTTATAGGGCCAAGCACTTGCGTAAGTTATTTTGGGATCAATGTAAGAAGTTCTTTGTTATTGCGACATTACTATTGTGATCATGTTTGATACATTGCGATTTCTAATCATAATTTTTAGTTGGATCTTTAATTTTTTCATACCGTCATTATTTTCAAATCCACTGTGTGTCTGAGGTGTGATTAAAGCCAAAAATCCGGACGCTTTTTAATCCATCCGCTGGCTAAGCCAAATAATGTCCATGCAGCGTTAATTATAGAATATGAGTACAGAGTGTTTGTAGCAAATTATAAAGTAATTATTTTGGTCACTCCACGGCGGAATTGTGTATTTGCGTATATCGTACTTCGCCTGAAGGTACTGCCGCCGAAATTTTACTACTGACGAAGAATTGGAATTCACGAACTAGATAAAGGTGAAGGATTTCAGCCCGGAAAAGTGAAGGCAAATTTTGATGAATTAATTTTTTTATGAACTACGCAAATCATTTATAAAAGCTCTTTCAGCAGTTTTCCAGATCTAATTATAAGGTTTGTTATGGTGTTAAATTTATTCATGTTCGCGACTAACCAAATTTAACCTTTACCTTTGGCTTTGCCCCCTAATCGTGAGCCCTTAACATGAGCCCAAACTAGGTAGTGTTGACCGATGCTAACAACCCTCTTTAGAACTCAATGTACCTGCAGATCTTGCAGATGCTGCGTCAATATGCATCTTATCCTCGTCATACTTGGACTACGAACCTGTCAGTTTATATTGCTGTATATATGCTGTCACTATATATTCTCTTTACCTTTATACTATCAGCCTTATGCTGTTGATTCACTTGTACCAAGTGCACTGACCATCGCCGCGGCAGGAGTGAAGGGCTTGAGAATGAACAAATACAAGCAACTGTTGAGGTACTCACGACAAGCTCCTGCAGTAGACGAGGGCAGACCTTTTGGGGGCGGAGGCCTCTTGCGGCGACACAACATCACCTGCACACCCAAAACATCGTTAAAACTCCCGCGAACACTAACGTAAAAGCCTTCTTGAACTGCCACGTTAACAGTAATGAAAAAACGCCCGTAATAACCATCGTTTATCGTAAATAAATGTTTAATGAATATCGTAAACACGCTAATTAATACTCACTTGAACACTCTCGTGAACAATCTAATGATAAAACCAGTAAAAACACCAACAAACACCTTCATGAACACTGTCGTGATTACAATCGCTAATTTTTCGATCCCAGAACTGAACCGATGATCGTATTTATCAATGAATGACTTTACACACCGTTAAACCCTTTTAAATTTTGGCGTACAATTCTTAAAATTTTTTCTGCACTCTTTCTACCTAATGCTTCGCTGACAGAAGAAAGGCCTAACGATAAGGCGCAAAGTGATGAACAATTATACGGGCATCCATTCTAACGAAGTCTCCGTTAACGCAACATTCGCCTTGCACCACAATACAATAAACAACATACTGCATTCGCAAGTAAGTGAAATATATACGTTATTGGAGCATAATATTAAATATCATTAAATAATAATAATTATTATCCATACTCTGACCTGGTCTAGTTGCCCGCCAGGCTGCCTGGGCGGCAGCCACGACACCGCCACCGAGTTGAGAGCCTCCGCCGTCTGCCGCACCTGCACCTGCTGGGGGGCTGACGGCGCTGCGACCAACCACGAGGAAAATACCGTATATAAATGGTTAATACATAAGTATATAACCGTATAGGTGATAATTAAAATATGATATATCTTATGTTACGACACTAATAATTGTTTCTAGTGCAGGTATGGTACTGCAGTACACGCACGTACCCTGAGGTATGGTACTGCAGTACACGCACGTACTCTGAGGTATGGTACTGCAGTACACGCACGTACCCTGAGGTATGGTACTGCAGTACACGCACGCACCCTGAGGTATGGTACTGCAGTACACGCACGCACCCTGAGGTATGGTACTGCAGTACACGCACGTACCCTGAGGTATGGTACTGCAGTACACGCACGCACCCTGAGGTATGGTACTGCAGTAGACGCACCCTTCTCTTGCCCCTCACAACACGAAGCTTGGGGAACAAATCCCCTAGACTCTCTACCTCCAACACGTGGAACAAATAAACGCTCTCTTTCACCTGCACACAAAACCTCATGAAAACAACGTGATGAAGATGTTAGTTTCGGAGCATTTAAACATTTATTCGGAACTATTCAACATTAAATTATTCACAACAGCCCTCAGTGCCTTGCAATTCTAAAGTGCCCAAAACTCGTAATATAAAAATGCTCACAATTCCATATAAACCAATTCAAAAATGCTCTCAGCGCGGCATAAAGCAATAAGAAGTTACCATAACTCGCATAAACTAATTAAAATATTAATAACTCGTTATAAAACCCAAATTCCCACAATTCTTTCTAGAGAAATATAAAAATGCCCGCAATTAATTCGTTACAAACCAATAACTAGAGACAAAACTCGCGAAATTTTATAAACTCAACAATTGATTGGCAGGAAGATTAATCATAATCCAAAGGGGAATGTGTCCTCGATGAACAAAGTGCCTGCCTATATATTACGAAGAAAAAAAAACAGAAGATTCGCCCCAAATAACGTCAATGTTTTCCTCCAACTGGAGTTCATATATAAGCAGAGATTTTGAATATAGGCAATGACATGGCAATTCATAAAAACGATAAGGTGGAGCAGAACCGCGAGGTAATTGCCGAGTTTTGTGAGCCGGAAACACCGTATAATGGCAGGCGCCGGGGGGCAAGAGCCGTAGGGCTCTGACTGCAGGAAAGTCGTTCAAATATTTTGTGGAGACGCCGTCTGCGTCTGTCGTGATTTGCAAGCATCACAGCACAGCCAATGAACGGGGCTAATTGGGACTTGAACGTGATTTGGAACTTAGAGACTGGCGGCAATCAGTTTGTTTATCTTATAAATGTACCGGAAGCTTGTTGAAATAACAAAATAAATATTAATATACATTAATTAATATATGTCGGTTAATATACATTAACCGACGTCAATGCTATTAGTACATAAATGCCAGGCCGAGAGGTGCCGTCAGTACAGCAAGGCCAAATAGTCAGTCTAATTTCGGCTGTGTCATTTGTGAACGGCAACTAAGAATCAATGATTCGATAACCGGTAATTAAGTTTATGAGCAAGACTGGATAAGGTCTCAGTGTTGACTTGAGGAACTATATGCACCGAAGCTTACTTTCTTAAATGACATTTTTCGCGATTTGTCCATTTATATCAACATTTCATCCTCCAAACTGGTCGAAATTGTCGCCCAACATTTCAGGTGCAATTCGTGATCGTGAAATACGTTATTCAGTACACAAGCACTGCTGGCTAGCAGGGCCTCCTGTCGAGTGTATGACCGGCGCAGTAGTAACATTCAACACAGCGTGATTGCTCCTCTGGCTAGTCTAAACATCAGGCGCCGTTCTATCAAGACACGCTCGAGTACACGTAGCTGCCTTAGTACACGTAGCTGCCTTAGTACACGTAGCTGACTAGTACACGTAGCAGCCTTAGTACACGTAGCTGACTAGTACACGTAGCAGCCTTAGTACACGTAGCAGCCTTATTACACGTAGCTGACTAGTACACGTAGCAGCCTTATTACACGTAGCTGACTAGTACACGTAGCTGCCTTAGTACACATAGCAGCCTGAGTACACATAGCAGTCTAAGTAAACGTAGCAGCCTAAGTAAACGTAGCAGCCTAAATACACGTATAGCGGCCTAAGTACACGTATAGCAGCCTAAGTACACGTAGTAGCCTAAGTACACGTAGCAGCCTAAGTACACGTAGCAGCCTAAGTAAACGTATAGCAGCCTAAGTACACGTAGCAGCCTAAATACACGTATAGCAGTCTAAGTAAACGTAGCAGCCTAAGTAAACGTAGCAGCCTAAATACACGTATAGCGGCCTAAGTACACGTATAGCAGCCTAAGTACACATAGCAGCCTAAGTACACGTAGCAGCCTAAGTACACGTAGCAGCCTAAGTACAACCGTCGAGGAGAGGACACCATACCGTCGAGGAGAGGACACCATACCGTCGAGGAGTGGACACCACACCGTCGAGGAAAGGACACCATACCGTCGAGCAGAGGACACCATACCGTCGAATGAGAGGACACCATACCGTCGAGTGAGAGGTCACCATACCGTCGAGGAAGAGGACACCATACCGTCGAGTGAGAGGACACCATACCGTCGAAGAGAGGACACCATACCGTCGGAGAGAGGACACCATACCGTCGAGGAGAGGACACCATACCGTCGAGGAGAGGACACCATACCGTCGAGGAAGAGGACACCATACCGTCGAGTGAGAGGACACCATACCGTCGAGGAGAGGACACCATACCGTCGAGAGGACACCATACCGTCGAAGAGAGGACACCATACCGTCGGAGAGAGGACACCATACCGTCGAGGGCAAGGACACCATACCGTCGAGGGCGAGGACACCATACCGTCGAGTGAGAGGACACCACAACGTCGAGGAGAGGACACCATACCGTTGAGGGCGAGGACATCACACCGTCGAGGGTGGAGACAGGCCCCAGTATCCAGGTTCTGATCAGGACAGCATCTGAAAAATTTGAAGATGGTTATAATCCACAGGAGAAATGAATGATAATCATTAAATTTTAACCTCAGCCTGCAAATACTGTTATCATTGTTTCAAAGAAATGTATCTAGAATAAAATGCTCCAGACTGTTCCACAAAATGAATTGAAATTGATTTTCATGGGCATCAGGAGCTTTATTTAAAGTGCGTGAAAAAACTTAATAATATAGGTATGGTAGTATGTTTAAAAATTAATTTTCAAAGACAACACTTCAAAGAAGAACCACTGTCTCCAATGTAAACATTTACAATTAATTTCTTATTTTGATTTCGGATACTATAACAATAAATTTTTCAATTATTTTAATTCACAAAAGAAATTAAATTTTCAAAATTATTTATTCTGTCAATTAATTTATGCATTATGTCCGACTTTATGAAAGTCTGCAAAATTTCAGACAAATTGGACAGCTAGAAGTGTGTTAAATATTGATTATAAGATTTGTAGCAGACAATTATTTTTTCAATTTTTTTAATATTGAAAACAAAAATTATTTTTAAAATTATTTATTCTGTCAATTGGTTCGTGCATTGTCTCCAACTTTATGCAAGTGTGCAAAATTTCAGATCGATTGGAGAGGTAGAAGTGTGTTAAAAATTGATTATAAGATTTGTAGCAGACAGACAAACAAGAAGTGAAGTTAAAGAGAAGTGTTGTAAAATAATACCTATAAGTACATTTAAAAATTACTTTTTAAAGACAACACTTCTAAAAATCCAGTTTCTCCAATGTAAAACATGTACAATGAATTTCTAATTTTAATTCCGAATATTAAAAAATTAACTTTTCAATTATTTTAATACATAAAAGAAATAAAATTTTCAAAATTTTTTATTCTGACAATTGATTAATGCATTGTTTCAGACTTTAGGCAAGTCTGCAAAATTTCAGATAGATTGGAAAGCTAGAAGTGTGTTGAATATTGATTATAAAATTTGTAGCAGTCAAAATTATTTTTTCATTTTTTTTATATTAAAAAAAATTCTAACTTTTAAATTATTTATTCTGTCAATTGATTCATACATAGTGTCCAACTTCACACAAGTGTGCAAAATTTCAGATTTATTGGAGAGGTAGAAGTGTGTTAACTATTGATTATAAGATTTGTAGCAGACAGACAAAGAAACAGACAAACAAGAAGTGAAGTTAAAGAGAAGTATTGTAAAAAAAAAGACTGGAAATTTCTGCTATTAAGTGCCAAAGAGATTCTGGTGACACTCCTGGAATTTTGATGATGGCAAAGAAAGTATCAGAAAACTAACCTGCTTATAAAAGCTGATCATGGAGTACGATGCAAAGTGTTGACAGTCTCAATAACTTCTTATACGAGGCTAATTTTCAAGCCTCTTTTGAAGAAAAGAGTGTATGGCTTCCACTTCAGTTGGCCTCTTCTTTTCTGCTATGAGCCCTCAAGTTCCTGAGGGCTTATAATTATAATCAAACATATTATAACAACTATATACAATATAAAGAAAAGAAATCAAGTTGTATTATTAATATCACCATAAATTATTACTTATCGCTTGGGTTATTAATGTCTATGAAAGCAATTCTAGCAAATAATACCTAGCTCACCTTACATCATCAAAAATTCCCTTTTGGATGTCATTTTGCCAACTGATTCTCTTCATTTGGCCTCTTCTTGCCTGAACATGCCCTCGAGTTCCTGCAATAGTAGAATCTTGAATGGCAATAATTTAACATATTACCTTAAAGAAACTCAGTTGTATTATCATCAATGGGTAATAAGGGACAGTTTTGAGCGTTTTTTGTTAATAACTTCTTACCATGAAACATTTCAAAAACAAGTTTGTGCTCATTTTAAAGATCTTTGCTAGGGCTCTTGTATGGCATCTAAAAAAATATCATATGCTAAAAATAATAGTAATAATAAAATAAAAATAAAATTTCCAGTGAAAATTTTTTTGCTGCTGAGCAATGTAAATGTAATCAAAATTCTTTGTTTTTAATTGATTTTTTTGTTAACTGGAACCTTTGCTGAGGTTCTACTGTTAATCCAATTTTAGGGGTGTCACTGACTCACTGTCCCTTAATTACCCAAGGGCCCAGGGGCAGGGGGTGTCCCTTGTTGCCCCATCGTGTGGAAATGCCCATAATTTTTTTCAATGAGCTATGCAAATTCTGTCAATCAATGCAACACCTGTGTGCAACATTTATGTAAATAACATCTCTTAATACAGCAAATATTTCTTTTGCTACAGACCTTAGCACTAAGTTAGCAGAGGTACCTACTCATCCAAAATCTAACTTTTCACACTTTTTTAAGATATTTTTTTTAAGTAGTAAATGAATGACTTCCTAACTTGCTTTATGCTACATTATACCTAGATAGGAAAATTATAAATTTTATGCCACTGTTCCTAGGACCTAGTTTTTCAATATTTTAATTAGTTCAGCTGCTCCATTTCTACAAAATTTCAGAGGAGTGTCCCTTATTACCCTGCCCATCCCTCAATCATAGTGACAAACTAGAGATTTTATGGAATCAGTTCATTTTCAATTTCCTCATTTACCCAAGATTTAAACCAATTTCTTATGTATAATGATGCTGGTATCCAGGATACTTTACTGGCCTACTTATAGGACCCTCATCCCTCATTACCCCCTTTGTCTTTGATAGTATTGATTCATCTCAATGATCTCATGAAAAAGTATCACTGAAACCTTGGTCCTTGGGTTAATAATTCTCAAGAAAACTATTCTGGCAAAGAAAAGCTAGCACACTTTTTATTTTAAAAAATTCTTTGGAGCATTAAACATTTCTATAAACAAAAAATAAACAGCAGTCTGAGTCTGTTTCACTCAAATCAAAGTCCAGCAGACTAACCTCTGTTTAATGGAAAAGACTTGTTCCTTTTGACTTGACCACAGGATTTTTGACTCACTCAATTTGAAAAGTTTTTGAAGATTCTTCACTCAGACATTGTCTTTAAATGCCACAAGCTTAATATAACTGAGAGTCTGAGGGGTCTGAGGCTGCAGCAACAACCCACTTTCACTTTGAACTTCGCGGCCATCTGTTTACACAGTTAAACGTCTTATGGATCTTTGTTTTCCGCACTTTCTTTTTGAAAAGTTCGGAGATGTTGATGTTATATGCATGGTTTCTTAGAGTTGTAACGTTCACACAACCCTCGACCTCACTTCGAACATGAAAATTCAACAAGTGGCAATGCTAACTCGAATAGCGTTTTGTTTGAAGAACAACGATAACTTCGTGAAAGAAATTGTTTCAACAAGCACAAACTGCAGTGATATGAGGAGGTTAAACTTGTTGAAGACATTTTTATATGTATAGCAAATCTGCAGACGGTTCGCAAGGAAAATTTGAGAAAAATGGGTGATTATCACACGAGAGACAAGTATAATCGACAACTATACTTCTGCGCTATGGCGCATTGCAACCCAACGCCATTGAACGAACAACGAACACAGTTCAACACACGAACTCACGCGCGTTCGTTACACTTGGGTTCTAAACGCGTTACGTTTCCAATTGAGCAGCAATGAAAATGAGTTTTTCACTCGGTTTGTTTATTTTTCAAAAATTTTTAACAAAATTGTATATATAAAAATATTATAAGCATTTCTCATGGGCAAATTTACTAATGATTAGACCTTCTGGACAAAGACGCGGCCTGTCTCATGGCCGTGCCTCAAGAAATTCATCTTACATAGAATATCTTCCAAACTACTGAACCGATTTCAATGAAACTTGGTATATAGATTCCTGACCACCTAAAGGTGATGTCTAGCCCGTGTAAATTTTCGCGATTTCGCCCGCGTTCTCGATTTATACGGTAATACGGGCAAAAATACGCATCGTACATGGAATTTCATCCAAACAACTGAACCGATTTCGGTGAAACTTGATATATAGATTCCTGACACCTAAAGGTGGTCGCGATTTCGCCTGCGTTCTCGATTTATACGGTAATACGGGCAAAAATACGCATCGTACTTTGAATTTTTTCCAAACTACTGAACCGATTTCGGTGAAACTTGATACTTAGATTCCTGACTACCTAAAGGTGATGTCTAGCCCGTGGGAATTTTCGCGATTTCGCCCGCGTTCTCGATTTATACGGTAATAGAATAGAATAGAATGGAAGTGTCGGCACTGAAGAAATAGGCCCATGGCCTGTCTCGCAAAAATTTACGGCCGGACCCGCGGCCAGAAAGGTTTTCTTAGTGTTTTTATGGGTTTTCTATGTTTTTTATTTTTAATGGAACCTGTTCCTAACCGGACCTAACCTGCGAGGCTTTCGTTGATTGGCTAGGTTTTTTTCTATGTTTGGAGTCCTGCGGCCGCGAGACCGGCCGCGGGTCAGGCCGTAAATTGTCCGAGACGTGAAAAAACCTAGCCAATCAACGAAAACCTTGCAGGCTAGGTCCAGTTAGGAACAGGTTCCATTAAAAACACAAAAAACGTAGAAAACCCATAAAACACTAAGAAAACCTCTCCAGCCGCGGACCCGGCCGTAAATTTGTCCGAGACCTCCGTACTATCGTATAAATCGAGAACGCGGGCAAAATCGCGAAAATTCACACGGGCTAGACATCACCTTTAGGTGGTCAGGAATCTATAAATCAAGTTTCACCAAAATCGGTTCAGTAGTTTGGAAGAAATTCCATGAACGATGCGTATTTTTGCCCGTAGTATAAATCGAGAACGCGGGCGAAATCGCAAAAATTCACACGGGCTAGACATCACTTTTAGGTGGTCAGGAATCTATATATCAAGTTTCACCAAAATCGGTTCAGTAGACTGGAAGATATTCCATGTACGATGCGTACTTTTGCCCGTATTACCGTATAAATCGAGAACGCGGGCGAAATCGCGAAAATTCACAGTGGCTAGACATTACCTTTAGGTGGTCAGGGATCTACATATCAAGTTTCACCAAAATCGGTTCAGTAGTTTGGAAGATATTCCATGTACGATGAATTTCTTGAGGCATGGCCTGAGACCGGCCATGAGCGAGACAGGCTGCGTTTTTGTCCAGGAGGTAGACGCCAACGTGGTCGAAAGAAGTGGCATGCAATCAGGAGGTGATTTATCAAATAGCAAACAAGTCCAATTAAATATACTTCGCATAAAATATAGCACACTTAAAGTCATATATACTATTTATAACGTTAAGGTAAATTAGATAAGACTTGTGAACAACCGCGCAAGCATTCAAATTCATGACCAGCACGAATCATGGAACGATCGAAACCAGCCCAGCAACGACATAATCTCACAATAGGAATAATCACAAACTAAGACCTAAAGGTAAATATTTTTTACGGCTAAAAGTTCAACACTCACCAACCGTGCCGTTACTGACTACATGCTTCGATACCGTGACTCCCGCAATAACAGGGACCAGGAGAACCACTGAAGGCAGCAACAGCTTCAGCCACGATATAAACATCGATGAAATGCTGATGTACAATATTAGCAGGAAATCACCATAATATTGATGATATATTTATCTTGGACCTGTTTTTAGGAAGGCCAAAAATCGACCCTGAACTTTTTTCAGAGAAAGAAGCAATTGATTCATATGTCATGAAGGAGTCAAAACGTTTCTTTCTGGGGCCGACAATTTGGATTAAAACGGTATAATAAAGAATAACAAAGCCAAATAAATACCATATCTAGCTTAACAATAGCTCAAATCTGCTTCAGTTTCAAAAAATCTTCGATCATCGATCAAGTTACTGAAGAATTATAGGATTCAGCGTTACTCCAAATTATTGTTATTTGTTCTCCATGGACAGGAAGTCCGGAGACAGCCGAGTGTAACATGGGTTGTTCACATAGAAAATGAGAGATTTAATTGTGTTGCCCCTGACGCGAATGTGATGGGGTCGTTAATATTTCATTTTTTTTTGGGCTATTCAAAATTTTGCTTTTCATCAGCGGACAATCAGGTGTAGTCGATAATTATGTGAAGTGCTGCGGACTGCACGAGTCTGGGACTTAAACAAGACCTCTGAGCTAAATTAATAATATTTCTTCTTCGTGAAAGTAACAGAGTGCATTTTACAGACTAAACTGGACATGCCAATATTCAAGTATGAGAGTTAAAATTCGTGTATCCAATAGATGTAATGGAAGATCTCCATTAGAATGTAATGGAGATCTCCATTAGAATGTAATGGAGATCGCCATTAGAATGTAATGGAGATACGTACGGAGAATATGTGAAGTATCAATTAATGCAGCAATGACACGCATCCTTCCAATCTCGCCCCTCCATGCAGGAGTCAGCCTCAGGTTGAATCCTTTCAAGAACTTATGTGGGATGGAAGCTTTAGATAAATTTATATAAAGCAGCTCAATCAACTTTACTTTTATCAATCCAACTTTTTTATTGACTTCTGTGAGTATGTCCTTTCTGAGCGTAACAATTTGAAAGAATTAATTCACTTGGCTTCCACTGCCGGGAAAAAATTATCATCCTACAGCACCTACAGGGTAAAAAAGTAACAAATATGGACATGATGATCGTCAAAAAGGAAGTCTATAACAACTCATGCACACGCGTCATTAGGATGAAGAGTTAGCGTATACTTACATTTCACTGAATTCATTGTTGCGTTATTTAATTGTGAATCACTCAACTGCGAGGCATCAGTCAATGATTTACTGGGACTTAATTTGTTAATTTACCTAATCATGCAGGGCAGCAGCGGCTGAGTAGCATGGTAGTGCCGGACTGCCTGTCAAAACATGGTGGGAACTAAACTCACCTTATTTATGACAGTGATGAATTTCCCAACTACAAACGGGAACGGTTAGTTAATTAAGAAATATAATTGCAATATTTTATTTTTTAATATTTTCTTTTCGTTTTCAACTTCAAGTGAATGCAAATTTTCCGATAAATGCGTTTTAGCGGCAATTTGAGCTACCAAATAGATTGGACAGAATAGAGATGAGTGATGTAGGTCGTTTTCTAATTTCTTCACTCCTGGTATTCGAATACAATTATCATTTATGCATGATTGCAACGTGATGAAATCTTTGCACTCGACGCACCTGTTCAACAAATTTATCCAGTTTTTTTCGAAAACGAATTTGAACTTTGAGTCACGTTGCACCTCCGAGTCGGTTCAAACTTCACACCAAACTTAAACATGTATTAGAAGCACAAATCTAAATCTTATCTATGCCGAGCAGCGGAGAGCGAACCATCCCTGTTATCACCGGCCTCCTCTTGTGAAACACATTGCACAGTTAGCCCATTTTGCATTCAAGGATGCCCACACAATATAGGGTTCATGGTAGGTTAGTTGTAGCTGGGTAGCGCGCATCGAATGCTCCATGAAGAGACAGTTTCACTAATATTTTCAAATTATATATTTGAATAAATCTGATGAGTCAATGATCGTTACGACGTAGAACTTGTCGCCTTCTATAGGGTCAACACACATACAAATTACAGCGATTATGAATAATAATATAAGAGATTCAATTCATGCATTGTCAAAAATAAAGATAAATAAAAAAATATAATTTTATTATTGGGTTCAATGCAATAATCTGGGGAAATTATTTATTCCCTTTTGATTTACAACATAAATATGCCTCTACCTTAGAAGTAACCGAGGTTAAGGCAAAAAACCACAACCCGCCCACAACCGCCATATCCATACACATCAACGAATGCTTGCGCACTGAACTCAGTCTGACTGAAACAGATTTGCTCGCCCCGCCGTCTGGCAGCGACGTCGTTCATTGGCTGCTTAGCGACTGCAAGCCGAAGCCACTAGCCAGTCGACGAACAAACACCAGATGAACTTTAATTCTGGATCATCTAACGAAATAAATATGAATACTATCTTTTCAAATTTAATTTATTTCAACAGATCATGATTCCATATTGTGTGAAAGTTATTAATGTTCAATACTATGCAATTCCTTGATTTCAGGAACCGTAATATGAAACCATTTCACCTTGAAAACATAGAAACAGACGACACCGGTGCTTGCAGTGCAAGCACGCTCGGCCGCTGAAAGAAAACGGTGGCTCCTCAATGATTTAGACAGAGACTGAAATAGCAGGTGACACTGATGTCGAGAGTAACATATCAGCGTTACTCTCAAATTGGAAACGTTACTCCCGAATTGATCCATAAGAATTGGATCATTT